CAGTTAAAATTGTAGGTGGACAAAGAAATTCATTTGTATGTTTTTTATTTAATAGTACGGTAGGTATAGTTAGTATTTTAACGGCTTATTGTTTTAGTCCGGTTAGATTTTGGACTTGTATATATTAAGTAGGTTACGATAGCAAATAATTAAATTGGCAGTATCCGTTCTTAAATTTACTGTGTCGTTTAGAGATATGTGTATCATTTTACTAATTGTTCTTTTGTAATAGTTGGATTCTTTATCAACAATTTTAACGTTGTAAAAGTCAAATTTGTTCATTTGATTAAAATGATTTAATGCTAATGCGGTCTTTTCTACCTTATTTTAATTTTTTTCCCGATAGTCATATTTGTGTTGGTATATTATGTATTTGAGATATTGTTTTGTAATACCAATGTAGCATTTTTCACAGCCTTCACAGTTAATTTTGGCTGTGAAGTTAATGTTTCCTTTTGGCACGTCCTTTTCCCACTAACCTTACACTCACAAATATATTTAAAGGACGAAAACTTTTAATGAATGATAAATGTAACTTTTGCTGGTCTTCACTTAAGTTTCTTGGGTATATAGTTGATTAAAACGGTCTACGTACCGATCCAGATAAGGTTTCAGCCATTATAGATTACCCAATACCAACGACTAGTACGCAAATTCGTAGATTTCTTGGTATGGTTTCTTACTATCTTCTTCGATCTCCGACCTTTTACAGGACAGGAAGAAGAACCAACCCATCACATGAACCCCAGAGGTAAATAAGGCTTTTGAAGATATTAAAATATCCCTAACATCTGCTCCAGTCTTAAGCAGCCCTCATTTTTCAAAACCATTCTTTTTAATGTGATGCGAGTGATGTCAGAGTTGGTAGTGTATTATATTAAATGGAGGATGGATTAGAATATCCTGTAGCTTATATGAGTAAGAAACTTAACAAAAGACAACGAAAATTTAGCACCACAGAGCGTGAATTATTTTCGGTTTTACTAGGAATTAATCACTTTAGATATTACCTTGTAGCTCATCACTTTACCGTTATAACTGATCACTCTTCCCTTGTTTGGCATAACAACATAAAAAAACCCTCAGCCCGTTTAGCACGATGGATTTTCGAGTTGTCACAATATAACTTCTTAATTGTACATAGAAAATCTGCAGGTACTTTAGTCGCAGATGAATTGTCATGTTCATGTATAGCTGAAGTTAGTATACTGGACTTATCTTTGTTGAAACCAGATAAGTGGTATCGGAATATGTTACCCAGAGTTCAAGCTAACCCAGAAAAATTTCCTAATTTTAAAGTTGAGAATAATATCTTGTATAAACATATCTACAACAACTTTGCGCTGCTTAACAATAACATATCTGACTGGAAAATTGTTGTCCTCACTGAAAATAGAGACGATATATTGTTACAATATCATAATCACCCTACTGCGGTACATTTTTGTGTATATAAGACGTAACAGAGAATACTAGTATTATACTATTGGCCTAACATGCGCAATTCAATTCATAAATGCGTTAAACGTTGCAAAATTTGTGCTGTATGCAAGCCATCTAATTTGCCATAGGCAGGATTGATAAGACAATACCGAAACATTCAATTTTAATTCATTTTTTACATTTAATCATTATTTGTTAATTTATTGTACAAATTCGTTCTTTTCTTTCTTTTTATTAAATTTTTTAAATTTTCCCACTTTCTTTTATTTACTAGAACTCATAACAGAAAACTTTAAGTACCAGGAACTGTCTCAATTAAACAGGGTGTATAAAATCAGATAATTTTTCCAAGTTACCCGAAAACTTGGTGGCGCTCAACATTTTTGTCGTTACCGCATTATAGTACCTTTCATTTTATCGTAAAGTAGACTTTGGCCCGCGAACTGTTTAAGTTAATCTGATTTTATTTGTCCTGGTTAATTTATGAATCCACGCAGTATCAACAATTTGAGCCAAATCACCTCTTAAGTAAAATTTGCATCGTAGAAATCAAAAAGAAGGTAACACATTTATTAAAAAAAGTAAAAAGAACGAACTTGTAAAATAAATTATTAATTAATGATTAAACGTGAAAAATTAATTAAAATTTACTGATAGATATTTAATATGTATCATAGGTATTTAATTGTTTTGACCATGTGGCATTCTAATAGCGCTATTTCCCTGTTGTATGTAGTGGACAATCCATATTTACTTAGAAACTTGGAGCTTGTTTGGAGTAATTACATAACCTAGAATTGGAGCTCGCACTTGGAACTTGGAGAAACTACGAAACTTTGAGCTTCTTGGAGAAACTACGTAACTTGTACTTGGAGTTGGACTTGGAGCTTAAAGCTTGGAGAAACTACGTAACTAGGACTTCTTGGAGCTTAAAGCTTGGAGAAACTACGTAACTCGGACTTCTTGGAGCTTAAAGCTTGGACTTAGAGCTTCTTGGAACCACTGATAATTTTTCCAACGTTAACACACAAAAATCACATATAAAAGACAAGATAATTACGGAAATCTACTCATAGTAGCTTATTTATCGGCACATACTACCACATTGAACTCGAAAGTTAGACTGTGTGGATAATTTGTTTATTGATTGTCTTGTTTCATGTGAAGAAGTCTGATAAAAGATTTTTTTTTTGAATAGACTCTTTTGTCATACAGCCAGTCACAAAATTAAAGAGGTAAATCATTAAATATTTCATTTCAAATAAGAGGATTAAACGGGGACACTCGCTTCCCAAATTTAAGTTATTAGCAATATTTTTGTCCTATCTTTACTTAAATGTTCACACCAGCACTCTACTGTCTAGAGTGAACTACAAGTTTTCCATTTAAAAAGCATTGGTGTCCAAGATCCTATAGGTATATTTACTACATAATACTCAAAAAAATGCCGAAATCAAATTTAGTAAAGCTGATAAAGGATGGGATAGTCATTAAATGCGAGACTTTATCCCAACCATTGCTTATATGACGGCTTAATGACATTACTGTATGACCCATTCAAATTGATGAAATTATTCAGCACAGCAGCAGCAACATCAGGACTAAATCTAAAATGCCAAAATTTTAATAAGGCTGTTCCTTTAATGCGAAACTTTATCCTTACCATTGCTTGTATCTCAGCTAAATGATATTACCATTTGCCCCATTCAAATCGATGAAATATTAATTCTACATGTTGCAAATTGTTACCACTGCAAATGACTACCGCTAAATGCTATTTAAATCGGTTCTTTTGGCTTTACGGCAGCGCTCTCTTTAACTATAGGCTGCCATATTGGATCCTAGGTTTTCCAACGTTTTGACAGTTGACATATGTTTCACGCCCCATTAGTTAGATTAGAATACATTTAACATATTTTAGGTTGACAACACTGGTTCACGCCGGCCGCCATCTTTCCATTAGGTAAGATTAGTTTTCACAAATGATAGGTTAACCTATAGGTTAGGTGATAGATGATAGGTTAGATCGCTACCACGGTAGGATAAAAATGGACAAAAAATGACGAGAATATTGCTGGACTTATATATATATATATATATATATATATATATATATATATATATATATATATATATATATATATATATATAATATATATATATATCTGTCATCAGGACTTTAGAGCTATCAATTCTTAGGTAAGATGACTTTTTGACGTGTTAGGTTAGCCAACTTCAGGTCACTGGATAAAAAATGTTGCGGATAGTAAATGGCTTCTGCTTTAAAGTTGACATATGTAAGCTTAGATTGACAGATGGCATAGGTTAGATCAGATGACATCTTCCCTTCCTCAGCCATCCTGAGGTAAGTATTTTACAAATGATGCCTGTCACCGCGCATGATTTTTCTCTTCATCATTAATAGAGAAAAGGCTCAACAAAAGTGCAGGTTAGGGGTTTTTAAATTCCTTAGACTTTGTACAAACACACTCCCACATTTTCTACATTCAAATAGGACCAAAAATAGACGCAGGCCACTGCACAGGATTAAGTAACGGTCATCTTATACGACGGCCTCCATCTTGGTTTGCTTAGCTGAGTCGCAAGCTAAGTCGCACCACTGACATGTTAGATTGACAGATTGTTGGCAACACTGTTGATGTTAGGTTGGCAACACTAATTTGAAAGGTGACAGATGTTGGCAACACTGGATTAACAGGGACAGATGCCCTGACAATTGACAGCTATTAGATGCCATGACAATTGACAGCTGGTAGATGGTTGGCAGATGAAAGATGACATGACAGATGACCTAATATCACATATGACCTGACATGACCGTTGATACATGACATGTCACGCATGCGCAATTCAAAAGTATTCCAAAGTGTTAATTTACCATTTACATAAAAATTGCAAATAACTCAAAATACATTTTGTAAAGTACCTACATACCGAAATATTACTCAATAATACATATTCAAAAAAATATATTTTTAAATGATTTTATGTACCCCGTAAATAATAATATAGGCACTGACACTGAAAATTTCCTGTTCTGACAGATTTATTTCTCCGTGTCGATTGAGATTCTACTATAGTTGCTTTTAATTATTTTTATAATTGTATAAAATAATGTTTACAATTATATCACCAAATCAATATAACTATTAAAACATGCATAACATAGATGAAACAATAGACATGATTGACAGCTGATGCGAAAAGTAGATTTATATTAGTACAGCCAGAAAATAGATATTTATCCACACACGTTTGATATAGGGCAGTTTCCATAAGTGGTCGCATAGCTTATTCTACTAGCGTTCTTTGTGCGTATGTTTTATTTGTTCCTAACTTAAATTAGAATTTAAGTATTTATATTGTCATAAAGTCTTTCTTTCATATTTAAGTCAAATTATTTTATGTTTTTCTCCACCGCACCACACTACGTCATTGAACGAACTTAACAAGATTACGTTAACTAAATAATATAACTCTGTATTTTTTTTTCATATTGTCTGTAAAATAACACTAATTATAAATATGGTTTACAGGTGTTTATATTGGACTGGATCCGTACATTGTTATAGTCGATCCACTGTACGCAAAGGAAATATTAACTAGAGATTTCCAGTATTTCGTAGATCGTGGTATTTATTTCAACAAAAAAAATTTAGTCACTTTAAATATATTTACGCAGAAAGGAGACGACTGGCGAAATGCAAGAGTAAGATCAAATTAATTTAAATGTATTCAATTCTATGGTTTGCTTACATGCATTAACGTTAATTTGTATGGTTTTTTTATTTACCATTTTAAAATTATAGGCAAAACTTACGAGCATGTTCACATCATCAAAAATGAAATTTTATTTTAACACCGTAAAACAATGTAGCGGTGACTTGAAGGCCAATTTGATAACTCTTGAAAAGAGTAATGCAGATGTTGATATTTATGAAGTAATGGGATGTTACTTTACTGACATAATAGGTACGTAGATTTTTGTGAACTGTATTATAATAGCAGCAGAGTGTCACCATTATACTAATATTCCATCAGATAGTGACAGGTTTAAGTGCCCCATTTTCGCATACAAGCCTTGAAGAGGGTTAAAAGGTACATCCATTTTAAGTGAAATAAAAGGAAATTTTCAAGGGGCTGCTGGGGATAGCAAATGGAAAATTCGATTTTACCTAACAAAGCCGTTTTTACTATATGATTAATTAATAGAACTAGGCATCGGAAAATCAAAGGCTTTAATGTTGCAAGTGGCTTAGAGTTGAAATAAGGTCGTAATCTTTTAAGGGAAAATCGAGATTTTGCCCGATTTTTCCACACAAGCCCATCAAATGTATGAAAATGTACGTCGTCACTAGTCCTAAAAACATATTTTCTTAAATAACCCGAATGTACAAGTGCATTTTGGAGCCGAAAAATTTTTTTGATTAGGCAAATCGAATTTTCCATGTGTTATCCCCAAGACACACGTATTTTTTTTTTATTTCACTTGATGTACTTTTCAACCCTCTTTGAGGCTTGTATGCGAAAATGTAACAGCCAAATCGGTCACTATCTGACGGTCTATAAGGTTGGTATCCTTGACCTTTGAGACAGTTTGGAACATTGACAATATATAGGTTATATTGTTGTACATATATTATTATTTCAGATTATCCCAGGAGGCATAATGCCAGTCTGAATATGTTAATAGGACTAGGTGCTACTCTAAGGGCGCAACAATTTTTATTATTATTTTTAATGGGAGTATTTATAATAACCATTTTCTGATTCACATTGTTTTTGTCTGGTTCACAATCTGGTAAATCAGGATTGTTTATAGTAAAATAGAAAATAGTTAATATACTTACTCCCAAGTCAGATGAAAAATAGTCGCATCTCAATCCTGTTAAAACTCTAAATCAGTGCCCCAGACATGAAACCCGACAAAACATCAAAGGATTTTAAAGCAAGAATTCTGTAACCTCTTTAAATAGGTACTGCGTAGCTGCAGCCTTGTTTTAGTGGCCAGGATTTGTGTAAACAGTAAAAATACTGCAATATTAGGCATTTGTATATTAAAAAAATTTGTACCATAATAAAGTATCATTCTGTTTGTTAATAAGTGCAACCAGTACACCAAATAGTGGTCATAAAATATTTTCAGAAAAAAAAAGCATGATAACTACTATGATATATCAAAATAAAGGTCGACTTCACCTCGAAAATTTAAAAGTATTTCCATCAGCTGGGAAAGTGACGCTTTTTTGGAATAAATAAGGAGTTTTTTTCGTTGACTATCTACAAAAGGGATCTAATATTACGCAGTTTTTATTTTTAAATTGCGTAATGCAATGGAAATTACAATTGCTAGAACATCTGTCCCATTCGACATACTTTGACCTTAGTGACTACAAACTGTTTCCAAAACTAAAAGAATAATAAATTGTTGGAATGGGTTCAATAAAATTCTTCCGTAACACACTTAAAAAACTGAAGGGATAAGTGCATTAGGTTTATGTCATAAAATATAGTAGTTTGTGCAACAAGAGTGGATATGATGGCTATATCGCACGAAGAAGAAATTTGGGCACGACGCCATAGGCAGAGTGCTTAATCATCTGAGTGCGATGTAGACAATCCACTCGAGTTGTACAGTATATTTTTTCTATGACCCACTAACGAAAATGTACAAATAAAAAAAAATATTTTAGGTTATTAAGAAAAAAATAACTAATTTTAAAATATTTTATGACTTTTAATAATTTTTGAAATAAAAAACCACAAAAAAGGAAACAAAGTTCATTTAATTTTTCCCCATCCGAGAATCGAACTCAAGTCTAATGTGCGGAAGGCAGGAACCTTGACCATAGGACCAACTACTCTTTTTTGTTGTTGTTTCAATACAAACAAATTGTTTATAATTGTAGACAAAATAAAATCAGAAATGCTATTATTTATAGTTTCTACACAAGAATAACCCATTTTAATGTATGTTTAATCTCAATAACTAAAAAAAGATACTGACAATTAGTTTGACAGAATTGTCACTTATTTAAAATTTTAAAAATAATAGCAGTCGATTGATCAAAATATTTGTCTAGTGATTATTGTATTTAATTTTTTTGCAGTGTTCTCACTACCTAGAATGGATAAGAAATATATTCGTTTAGTTAAAGGCAGTAGCATACTTTTTCGTTTTATAGTTTGTGCGTAGATAAGCTAATATCCATGTGTGTGTAGAAAATCAATTTTTTCTTTCAAGCTTGCATTCTGTTATTTTTATATTGTTATTAAATTTGAAATCAGCTTTTGTTGTATACAGTATACATTCTTAAATTTATTTGTTTTTGTAGAATTTTTCTTTTTAAAATCATTTTTTGATTTGACCACATTAAATTGACGCAGTCAGTGGGATAATCTTCAACAACTAAATTTTGTTTTTTTTTATTTCTTTTGTTTTAGATTAATTTTTTTATTAATTTTTCTAAAGAATTTCTGAGAAGTCCCTAAATGAAGGATAATGCCTAATAAAATATGGCCGATATAAGTTATATATATGCAGTTTCTTTTTATTCTTATTTATAGAAACTCATCAATGCATAAAAAGTGACTCTAAGTTTACCCGGCAATGACAGCATAATAAAATCAAAAGCTAAGAGAAAATAGATATTTCATATATTCTTAATTTTAGGTTCTGTCACTTTTGGAATTGAAGCCAACAGTTTTAAACGTGAAGATGCAATATTCAGAAAAGTGGCAAGAGATTTGTTCCAATCGTTGCCTATTACTTTTCAAATGATACTGTTCGTCATTGTCTGTTATCCCAAAGTGGCCAACTTTCTTGATATGCCCATAATTCAACCACATATTGAAAAATTTTTCTTTGATTTTGTACCGGAAACATTGGAACATAGAATAAAAAATAACATATACAGGGAAGACTTTCTGCAATTAATGATTGAACTAAAAAAATCTGGAGAATTCGATACAGAAGAGATTGTAGCTCAGGTATGGTCATGCAATTTCTGTACGTTACCTACTGTATCAAGTTCTGATTTGCCCTTTCGAATGAAAATATTTTTGTGCTAAACCTAAAAAACTCCAATATTATTATAAAATAAATATGATAACCAAATTAGGTAAGACGTAATTTAGAATGACGTGTTGCATTCCTATTTATATTTTATTTTAAATTAAATTCGAATAAAAAGTTTATGAAACATGTAGGAAAGTGATTTTTCTTCCATGGATTATAAACTACCGCCTTTGTCATAAATATTGTTGTTTATTTATTTTAATGGGTGGACTCGTATTTCCTCTTAATAATTTTCAAAATATTTTGTATTTAGAATCGATTCATTTTCTTTCTAATTATTTTATATCATTTTAGTGTTTTAATTTTTTTGTTGCTGGTTTCGAAACATCTTCCACAACTTCTACATTTTTACTTTATGAACTAAGTGTGAACAAAGACATTCAAGATAGAGTAAGAGAAGAAATAAATAGCGTTCTGAAAAAACATGATGGTGATTTTACTTATGAGGCCATTCAAGAAATGACGTATTTATCACAAGTAATGGCTGGTAAGAAAGCTAATTAATTGTTTTGATGATTACGTTTACTGGTATACAATGACGTTAGAGAAGGTAGACAGAAGTTTAACAGGCCTTTTGCAGTTTTCAACTTTATATAAAGAATTTAAGTGTTTTATTTCTGTTTTGTTTCTATTCTACGTTACGACACTGGGGGACAAATATTTTCGCGAAATTTTCGAAGTCGTCCGACGAGGTTTGACGTTTGCTACCTCTCCACTTACCAAAAGACTGGTCAACTTCTGTCCACCCTCTACATATCACGATTAACTGTACATTAATATAAAGACTAATCAAAAAAATATTTTTAAGTAGGCAATGACAGAAAAAAAAGCGAGTCATGTAAACTACGCACAGGTCAAGATTAAATCTAAACTGAGAATTAAAAAGAAGAAGATATATTTGGCTTACTTTAGAAACATTTTTTATTGTTATAAATAGAAAATAAAAACATAACATGACCTTAAAATATATAACAAAAGAGAAATGAGAAATAATCTTGTATAAAAATCAAAACAAAAAAGGACATTAAGACATTAGATGATAATACATGTTATATCATCTTATATCTCCAAAAAATCTTTATTTACATTTTTTTGGCATAAAATATGACATGTTTCTTTAAAAATCTAGTATTGTAATGTTCATAATTTAAATAGTTATACGAGGGTTGCCTTTTATATTTTGGGATTAGAGAACAAAAACAAATATTAATCATCGAAAATCGCATTATTGTTTTTCAAAATATTCTCCATGAAGATCTATAGACTTCTGCATACGTTTGAACCAATTGTGGAAGCACGTTTGCAACTCTGATTAACGTATCTTTAAAAGATGCCATTCTAAACGCATCAACCGCTTCTTCAGGTGTTGAAAAATGTTGACCTTTCAGTTTATTTTGTACGTACGGAAATAAAAAGAAATCATTCATTGCTCAAAAAAATGCAGTTGTTTGAGCCGATGTGTGAGAGCTCGCATTGTCGTGATGAAAAGTGATCCGTCATCGGCGGTTGGATTTCCTCATTTCTTGGAAGGCAACTGGCAAACAAATGGTTGTGTACCACTCAGAATTGACTGTTCTGCGTTTTTCTAGTTCAGTTCAGTTCATCCGAAAAAACAGGCGATCATTTGCTTGGAAGTGCTTCGTGCGGGAACAACTTTTGTTGGATTTGGCTGATCTTGAAACACCCATACAGTCGACTCCTGTTTACTTTCGGGCTCATACGCGTAAACTCACGATTCGTCAACTGTCACTATGTGAGACGTGTTTTAAAACATGGCTATCGTATTTTTTGAGCATTTCTTTCGACCAATCGACACGAGCCTTTTCTTGAACGATTGACAAATTGTGTGGGAACGCGAACAAATTTTTTGACAGTCAAAGGTTCTTGCAATATTGAATGTATGTTGATCCCAAAGATAACGGATAATAGATACGCCTTGTCCGCAACTTTTTTTTGACGCAACTTCCAAATTTTGATAGTGTGGATAGCAAGTTGGTGGTTCGAGCCCCGAAACTTTTAGTTTTTTTTTTTTGTTTTTGTTTTTGTCTCCTAAAAAAAAAGGAAAAATATTATTGGTTTATTATTTTACAGTCTTGGTAATTTAAAATGTTTAGTTTTTAAAAAGTATATACTTATTCAATGCATAGTGGCGCATAACGAGGTTCATTCATTTTTATGTTGGCCGGCAATTAAATCCCGGAAAAAGTTTCTGACTTTTTGGAATTAATTTTTTTTATATTTAAGACGCTATTAAAATTTCAGCGTGAATCAAACACTTCAAATCATATTTAAAAAAAATCAACTTTGGGGTTGATTTATTAATTATAAACCCTCTCAAATGTGTCTGCCTAAATTACTAGTATTTTTAGAATTACCTAAACTTTCAATTGTTGTTTGTTGGCCTCTGAATCAATCACTTTTTGGGTCATATTTTACGACCCCTTTCTATTATGTGCAGTACTTGGTGTCCCGGGGTAGGTCTAGCCAACACAGGTATATCTGCTTTTCCATCCAAATGATTTCAAATTACAAAATTTCAAAGTGCATTAAACACTTAATGAAATGTGTGTTACTAGCTCTCCGGCTATTATAAGTCCCTAAAAAAATTGTTTTCTATGACCATTATCCAAAGTAGGCTTTTGCACATTCAAATCTAATTAGAAAGTTGACGTTTTTCGCGAATTGTCATAATTTTACACTATTGGTGCAAACGTGTGCCAAAGTAACTTTGGCAAACGCTTGCCTGTTTTTATTTGAATAAAATAAATGAAAGCTAATCGGCATTTTAAAACAAAATATAGGCTAATCTAAAATATTAAATTGACTTTCCAATATTTTATATTATTTAACAGTTTTTTCTGTAAATAATTAAAAGAATAAATCATAAATAATTACCGACACATAAGTACTAAAACCTTTTCTCTTCGACAGACTTTCTGTCTCAACTGCCAAAGGTGTTACTTTCTGTTCTTAATACACAAATAGCTATTTTGTCTTTTATCCCAAAATATCAGTTATCTTATTTACAACAATACCGAGATTCCTCTTTTCGTGTGGGTCTAGGAGACCATGGAAGACAAGTCCGCCAATACTAACCATTTTTGATTTTAATTTGCAATGTTACAGCCCTCACTACTTACCGTTACGGTATTATTGAGGAATTGGGGTTTGTTTTGGTATCGGTAATGGGAAATAAGTAAGGATATGTCGTGTTTTAGTTCTGATTTTTGTTTCCTGAAAAAAGCTAGAAAAAACAGGGTTGTCTTTGTGCATGCGTTTGTCTTCACCAAGAGTGTTTGTAGGAGTAAAATGGCATTCGAAATGTCACAAAAGAAGCTTCCTTTAGTTTTTTTTTTTTTTCTATTCGGACAAATTAGAAATAAAGTCTCTCTTGATAATCTTAAGCTACTGTGTTTTAACCTTGTCCAGATATTATAAAATCATTGCTGATTGCTCTCCTAAATGAATTATTATATCATTACATAAATAATGCTAAAAATAGGTGTCGTGACCTGCAACCCAGATGGTATACAACGGAAAGATCCTATTTGTATATTTATGTATCTGAAATAAAATTGTTTCATTATTTTTAATAAGTTTTTTTATTTCATAAAAAAAGGTAGTCCACAATATAATTATTCTTTTGTCGACCTGTAAAAAAGGTTTTTTGACAATACCCATGTAAAAATAATAAATAGCTTTATATTTTTACTTGCTCTTTATGTATTTAAAAAAAATATAATATATAATAAAATACTAACACAAATGTTCTTCCACTTTAAGCTTCCTACTATTTTAATCTATAATAAAATATATAAGATGACTTTTTGAATGCCCTACATAAATTGAATATGTTTTCTTTAAATTCACCTTTGATTCCGAAGACCCATAGGTTATTGATTTGGTCATTAACCCTTTCCGTACGGCTGACGCAGCCTATGCGACACCGAGGAAATATGCCACACAGACGGCTGTCGCACATGGTCGACGGCATGTATTCTGTCTCCTGGACCACTGCCGGTTGGTATGCGACGCTTTCAATTTTTAGATTTGGCTTACAGACTGCTGTCGCAACATTTGCGTTCACCGCATGCTAAACGCACAGGCGGCTGCCACATATAGTCGACACCGCCGATCATGTGCGACATTCGGCAACCTTGCAAGTCCAGGGCTAGGCGAGTGCAGTGTTTGTGTTTTCGCGCCAGTATGGCTCAAGATGTCGTCAGAGAATGCAGCGGGTCCCTCGGGGGTCGTTCCAAGAGCGAAAAAACAAAAAACAAGTTACGATAGCCATTGCGGATTATCTGATGCTGAAGTACGTAATATTTTAAGTATTATGGACACTGATTCTCTTGAGAATAGTGAAGATGAACCTTTTGTGGACAGCGGAAGTGAGTATTTGCCTGGATCCGACAGTGAAAGCGAGGGATGGGTAAGCCAAGAAGATGATCTCGAAGACGAAAACCAGGTCCAGGTCGAGACCAATAATGAAGAGAATTTAGACAACGATTCAGAGAATATTGAACATGTCGAAATAGTTTGGGGTCAAGAAGATTTTCGGCCTACAAAGCACGTGTTTGACAATGCCAGTAGTGGTGTAAAAAATGAAAATCTGTTGAACGAGACTCGGGAGGTCAACTATTTTTTAAGTTTTTTTACTGAAGAGCTTGCCACTATCATTATATCCGAAACTAATCGGTATGCACGAGAACAACAAGCAAAGGATTGGAAAGATATTGACGTTCCTGAGCTTTATATTTTTATATCTCTAACTTTGCTAATGCCCCATATGAAAAAAACGGACCTAAAGGATTACTGGTCAAAAGATAGTTTATTGCGTACTCCCGTTTTTGGTGAAAAAATGAGTCGTGATAGATACCTTACTATACTGAGATACTTACATTTTTCCAACAATGCGGAAGGCGACCCAAATGATCGTATGCGTAAATTAGGAGTTGTTATAAACACGATAAAATCACAATTTCATAGTCAGTTTTACCCGTTTGAAAATCTCGTTATCGACGAGAGCATGATTCTGTTCAAAGGTCGCCTTAGCTTCAAACAATATATCAAAACCAAGAAACACCGCTTTGGAATAAAGCTATTTGTTTTGTGTGATTGTGAAACGGGTATTGTTTTAGATTTTGTGGTATATATTGGAAAAAATACTAACATACCACTAATCGAGGATCTTGGCTCATCTGGTTCGGTTGTAGTAAAACTTTTGGAACCATATTTGAACAAAGGGCATACTTTTTATAGTGACAATTATTATACTAGCCCCTCGCTATCAACTTATCTTTATAAACACAAAACCAATTCTTGCGGAACTGTCCGTCAAAACAGAAGACAGATGCCTGATTTTAAGAAAAAACTTAAAAGGGGTGAAATCGACTGGAAAAGTAGCGCGAACATACTAACCCTTAAATGGAGGGATCGACGGGATGTGGTTATGTTGACAACTTTTCACGAGAATGAGGTAATAACTCTACAAAAAATTGATAGAGCAACCCAGCAACCTCAGAAGAAGCCTTCATGCGTAGTTGACTATAATGGACGAATGGGCGCTATTGATCGTTCGGACATGATGATAAGCAGTGTAGACAGTACAAGAAAAACCATAAAATGGTACAAGAAGCTTTTTTTTCATACAATGGATCTATGTATGTTGAATGCACATGCGTTGTATAGCACTCAAAATTACAACAAAGTTCCATTTCCAAAATTTCATCGGGAAGTTATACGCCAAATCTTTGAGAGGTTTGATTACAATTTTATTTTTTTTTTTTTTCCATAAAATGCATTTCGTTTTATTTTCAGATATCCAACAGGAAACTACAGGCCGGGCCGACATGACGTTGGCATTGCCAGACTGACAGATAAACATTTCCCGGAAGAAATTCCCCGTAAAAATGGGAAATTACAAAGAAGAAGATGTGTAGTTTGTGCCCAAACTAAAAACAATGAAAAAAAGCGCAAAGAAAGTAGATTTATGTGTAAGGACTGCGATGTTGGACTCTGTATTCCATGCTTCAGCATTTATCATACAAAAAAAAATTTTTAGTTATAGAATAATAGTTTTAATTATTACTATTTTTTATAACTTCATTATTATTTCTAGAATAAACGTCTGTTTTTGTTAAAATATTTTTGTTTTTCATAACTACATTATTATTTCTAGAATAAGCGTTTGTTTTTGTTTATATATTTCTATTTTTCATAACTACATTATTATTATTTCTAGAATAAAGGTTTGTTTTTGTTAATACATGGGTTTTTATGATAAAAGGCATGCTTCCAACATTTAACTACACTGAAACGCAACTTGTCGCAAATAGTCGACACCCGTCCGTGCGGCACGGTCAAAACCTCCGTCTGCGGGGCGTACATTTTCGGAAAACCCGCCGTACGGAAAGGGTTAAATAATTTTTACAAAAATATATGTAAACCCTCCCGAAACACTACGTCTTTGTGCGACGTACGATTCCCCTTTCCCCGTCTGGTATAACATGCGGACAGAAGGTGTATTGGGTATACATTGTGAAGGGCGAGTCTATCTTAGATAATATGATGTCTATGGTTGATCCCACTAATGCCTAAAGTTGACTCAATCTCAGGATAGGTCACATGACGATCTTTCAATATCAGTTCGCGCAGAGCATTAATGGTTTCCGGAACAACAACTGATTTTGGACGACCTTCACGAAATTCGTCTTGGAGCGAACACCTACCTTGATTGAATTTATCATACCATCGATAAAAACTGATCCTTGATGGAGCTTCATCGCCAGAAATTAAATTAAGTTCATAAGTGCACGGCTGCTGAGTTAATCCATGTCAAAAGTTGTAAAAAATAATCGAAAATTAAATTTTTTGGCCGAGATGAATTTTTTAAGTAACTGTAAACAATACAAATAGCGCTCGTATTCCCAAAACGTTTTAAGTACGCATAACCTCAAAAATGTAAAACCTTTCGACAGAGCTGTCAGTTGTCAGTTTGCAACACTAGGGTTGTCCAATCCCGAAATATAAACGGCAACCCTCGTATTTAGTAAATTTTTCTTTAAAAAAATATTGAACAATTCACCTTTGTTATAGATAATTCAGTTATTTTTGGCTTTAAAAAAAATTAAGCTTTTAATCTATAGTTTTAATATCACCAGAGATCCATAAATGTAATATTTATATTTTATAGAAACTATGAGAAAATATCCACCATTAACAGCTCTCACAAGAGTCTGCGTCAAAGACTACAAGTTTCCCGATAGTGAAGTATTTATTGAAAAAGGAACCACAGCCATACTGCCAGTATTAGGCTACCACTATGATCCAGAAGTTTTTCCAGATCCAGAAAAATTTAATCCAGATAGATTTGAAGATAAAAATGTTAAATATGACGGGTATTTGCCTTTTGGTTATGGACCGCGGAACTGTATAGGTTAGAAAAATTACATTTTAATTGCACATTGCTTAAAACTCTTCAGATAGTTTATTGGTATATGTATTCGATATAACTTTATCTTTTTAATTTCTGAAAATATGTATTTTTTTAGGTGAGCGACTTGGAGTCATGCAAGTGAAGTTAGGAGTAGCTGAGGTGATAAGAAATTATAAACTTTCTGTAAGCCCGAAGATGGATCAACAGCTAGAATTTGATGAGTATATTTTTGTCACTAGGATGAAACAAAAAATTTTACTAAAATTAGACAAAATTTTAAATTAATTTACGACGTCTGTTCCCTATGATCCACTTCTGATCAATTTATAATAAAGATATTACTTTAGCAATTACTTTATTTTTTGACATATTTCCCTTATCCTAATACAACGCTTCGCGTTCTTTCAATCACTGACATTTGAAAATTTTTCTATCAAAGAAATGGTTTTTCCGTTTCGGAAATAGTCTTTAGTTTCTAGGTGTGAAAATATGGCGAATAGGGTGGAAGTTTTACAAATTAAAATCGCGCTTGATGTAAAGCCACCACTGAAACACAAGAGGCATGACTGGGAGCATTGACTTGATGGAACGACACACCTTTACACAATTTGCCACGATATGTTACTTTTAATGCATATAGTAATTTAGAAAAGTGTGCTTACAAAATACCTGTAATAGTAGCTTCCTTCTGGAGAGAGTCAACCAAAATAAAAAAAACAGCATCACCTTCCCAGTTGACAGAATCACTTACATGTCTGGGTTGCAGGAGCATTCCTATGTTTCCACCCTTTACTTTTAGACCCATAATTCAACTTTTGTAACAAACTCATATAAATTTTTCTGTTCTGTAACTGTACGGTGGGGAGGGTATGTTGCCCCAACAGCATTAGGGTCTCACTAAGTATATTGTGTGTCCTTGTAACGTTCATTTTTGGCCCCACGAATTAATAAAATTGTTTTGGCTTACCTGGTTAATCATACGAAAAAAAAGGGTAAAATCGTATTGATGATATCACTAATATTTTTGTCATTAACTAATTTCACCTGTATTCTAACTTTCAGACATCATTATTACAATTTATTTCATCTCACCACTAAGTAAAAGGATGGTAACCCTCCTAAAAATAGACCAAGTTTCGTTGTAAATTTATATATATTATGTATTATAGTCTCACCTTTGGGTAATTAATTGTTTACGATACCATTCTTTAAGATTTTCTTTGTTTATAGCTGTCAGAATTGGATTAATGTTTATTAATTATGACAGTGAATGACATAAACGTCATTTGACGACAGAACACCGACAAATGTCATGTTTGTAGTACGTTCCAATATCGGGCTCAGAACCCGAGGTAAGGTAGTTTCACAATGAGCGATTTTAAGTCGTGAGGGATTTTGTTTTGCGATCGCTGTTGTGTTAATTTTTTGTCGGGAACAGTTTCCCAAATGTAGTTATACTGTATATAAATATAGTTTTTAGGGTACCTTTCGTAAATGGTCTGTTAAGTTATATAGTGGGGAATTCTTGAGGATGAATTTCTGAACCCACTTGACATTTATCGGAAAGGGATTTCGGCCATTTTGGACGGCTGACGTATTGTTTTTTTTTTCTGTCAGTGGGTATTCAGTCACGAGAGACGATTTTTGTGTCGAAATAGAATTTTCTTAATATTTAGCCCCATCGGCTTACCCTAATTAAAGGGGATTTTAGATTCTATTTCATGGTTAATTGTGGGTAAATGGACATTTCGTATTTTGAGGGGAATTTTAGTGAATTGGTAAATTCCCATGGTCATTGGTCCAGCCCATATCTAATATAGGATTTTAACGCAAGAATTGGACGTTCACAGCATTTGGAGTGTGGAATATTGTTGTGCTGTGAATCATCTCACGTGGTTCTCATCCTTGAAAGGCTACCAAGTTAACCCTTTACGAAAAAGGTATGTTTTGTATATATTAGGTTATGTTACCAACCATGTGTAACAGAATTTTAATTATTGGAGCTCATAATACTGTTTATGACTCACTGTTGAGCCAATGTAGTTTTTCTTTATCCTAGATACTGAATATTTTCTAGTTTATGTACATTTTTGGGTAATCCTATAGTTCGGGATACTTGAGTCAATGTGTATTGACATTTTTCTTTGTAATATTTTAAGGGTTTAACCCAGGGGGTTGTTAGCCCAGGATTCGACGACAGTTTGACCCAAGGGATTGTTGACCCAGGATTTCAACAGTTGTACACAGAGGGTTATATCGTTCGGAGTTCAACGGTTTCATCGTGGACTCATCGAGGGGACACAGAACATTGGTATGCTAGCCACCTAGTTTACTTGTAGCTAGATTTACAAGAATGTTTCTTGTTCTGGATAGGAAGATGGGAATGCTGTGAAAGAAGACACCCTACTATCAGGTTTTTCTTATACGTTATATTGAAGGTTTCATGCGTGCATTGTTAAATTATACATTCACTTTCAACCGAATGTTGTCAAGGTATTCTCAACATTATTTATACTTTTGAGCACAGATTGTTCTAGGGTTCTTTCACACATAACTTAAGTATTATCAAATGTTACATCGTTTAATTGATTAATATTTTAAAGCTTTTACTTAATTTAAGCACTTAATGCTGATGTAGTAATCCTTCGGGTCGCAGAAAACTTGGACTGCTTCCACGTTTAAGTTGTAATTCTTCAGTTATTAAGGGCCACTGCCATAATTTTACTTTTTTTCAATTTATTCATTATTAAATGGTCAAGACTTAACGATTAAGTTAAGCAATCTCAGAAGACCCGTGTGGGGGCAGAGATTAAGTAACCTCTTCCAATCTGGGAGTTTAATTAAATAACCTCTGTCTAAAGTCCTTTATATGTTGTATTTTTATTATTTTTTTTTATATTTTTATTTAGTTCTATGAATTATACTTAATTATAAAATTTCATGGTTTAATAATTTTCTTTTGGGTAGTTTGGTCTTAACCAAAAGTTAAACAGATATCGCCTTCCAATTTGGAGAGGGTTATAAGATTATAAAGATTATAAGTTTACTGTTTTTATAATATATGAAATAGTATAGGTACGGTGATGCACAATATTTAAGTTAACTATTATATTATATTTTTTTTATGTAAGGTGGAAATTAATGTTTTGCGCAAGCGTCATGCCTGGTACCAAGCTAACGACGAACCGTTCCATACTTTGATACATTTATTAATTTTTTTGGGTTATGCATATACATACACTGTGTAAGTTTTTCCTTTTAATTTCCTCCAACTTTTTTTTTTTATTATCTAAGCCATCAGGTAATTAGTTTGTATATTTACTAAATATTTTTTTTTTCTTTATAAAGGAACATAAGTTGAGGTTTGTCTTTTATTTCTTTCCTCATTTACTGGGTTTTTGGGGAAATAGGATCATAGTTTGGCCACTATATAGACCCAGTTGGCGCCTATTTATTTGTCTACTATTTCCGGAATTTTTGTAAGCTATCCACCCCCTAGCTGCCGTCTGAGCGACGTCGAAGGCCCGAAGGTTGACACCGGAACAACCGAAACTTGTGTAACCGTAGTAGACAACATTTTAATTGTAGTTATTACTTTAATAATTTTTTTTTTAAGTTTAAAAATTTTGGTGGAATCACCAAGTTCATTTTGTAGGTTACATCCTCCTGATTCAGTATGGCCTCTCTAATTTTGTCATTTATCTCACAACATCAATGAGGTTGACAAAATCACCGAGCGATGCATCTCTTATGTTGGCCAGTGTTAGTTAATTTTTGTCAAATACAAATAAATCTTTTAATAGGCTCGAGGGTCTGGCAATCAAATACTTTTCTTCTCTTATTCACACCCTCTACAAAATGCTGAGTATGACAGCCTAAATCTATGGAATTGCATCTGCACTTCCTGTAATTAGCGCATATTTTGTCTTGTAATAGTTGTAAGTATCGTTCATAAAGTACGTAGTTAAGTCAATCTCACAGGGAACTTTGTTCTTCTTTGAACGTTTTTTTACTGACAAATTCCTGGGAAATACGCGATGGCCGCCTTCTTTACCGTATGAGCAGTGATAGAACTACATCGCCGGTCGGATACATGCTGGGTTTTTAGACAAGGTAGAAAAGAACACGTTGTCGGCTTCTGCCCAAGTGATTCTACTAGTCTTGTTTATGTATGATGTAATTGTTTAATGTAGTGTGAACAAGGTATGTTAAGAACTTTTTAGCAACTGACGGCTTCTTATTTCATTCCAACTTTCTCTTATTTTTACAATTTGTACAGATTGACATGTCCGTTCAATCTCGCGTTTAATTTATATAGTTTTTAGTGATATTTTTATAAAATGGTAAACGTAAGACAACAAAAAGTTCGATGCAGGAGCTCTTAACCTTAACATACTCAACAGGAGTTATGATCGATGACCCCATATACCTTTTACAGGAAAACTATATCTGGTTGCCGACAGTGTAAATGAACCTTTATGAACTGTGCGTGAATTGCTGACTCTAATCATTTTTCCCTAGCAACATTTAAATAAAATAAGGCAGTCTGATTTCATAGCTTGTAACGATAATATTAACAATACATACTAAATATATTTTATTTTGGGTTTTTATTTAAGAAACAGTAATAAACAATTCTTTTTAAAAACATTCCTCCCAACGAGAGACTTATAAGTGACGCAGTTAGTAGGATTTTCGTCGGAAAAATCCATCGTGGAAAATCTGTGAGTTTTAACTCTTTAACGAAAAACCGAATACAATCAAGAAATTCCAGTTCCTTTGGGGAATATACCAATGTGGTAAGTTTTAATTCATGTCAGACTCCTCTTCTCCTAGCAAATACTTAAGCGAAATTGATAGTATAGAAGAGTTAAAATATATCAATAATATATTAGATTCAACTAACATAGATTCAGAGCTTACAAATAATTTTAATAATTTAATTATTGTTGAAAACATGGTGGTGCCGGTATTAGATATGAAAAGTCTAACTGTTATTCCAACTTTTGATGGAAACGTTAATAAATTACATAGATTTATCAATATAACGGAATCAATTTTAAATCATTATTATGATAGGGAGAATCCTAATAATTTTCAGATTGTTTTACTATTAAATGGTATTTTAAATAAGTTATAAGGTAGAGCTAAGAAAGTAGTAGCAACTACCGGTGCCGATACTTGGCCTGATATAAAAAATGCATTAATCGAAAATTTTCGTTATGAAAGAGACAAAAATTGTTTAAATTAAGATTTAGTCAATATGAAGCTGGGAAATAGAGAAT